CATCAATGGGGGTAACTAACACTTGGTACTGCCTATCATGCCACACCTCTCAATATGGATCTGTCTCGGCCATTCGCCCCTGTAAGAAATGCAAATACATGATGAGTATTTGGCATCAACCAGGATCTATTCCAGCTCTGCCAGTATTTGTTGGTACCGCGGGTGGTAAAGTTAATAATCAAGCTCCTGTTGAGGAACCCGTTCATGACGAAAAAGTAACTCCGACACTAGCTTGTTAAGTTTTCGCAGTTAGACGCATCATTGATTACTAGCATCTTGCCAGTGGTCATGGGCGTGGGCGTCAGAAAAGAATTATGGTCAATGGAAGATAGTACATGGAATGGTAGACGAAGATATGGACACGGAAAATTGGATCATAGCAAACTCTGTACTTTCAGCAATGCGAGACTTTTAACATATACTTGGTCAAAATTGATTGCTGGTGATGCATGATTTTGTAAATTTCCTTACCAAATAATGATGTTGTTTAATGGTGAACGTTATGTTTCGTGAATAAACTCGTGAATAAATAAAGAGCAGACAGAAGAAATCGATGTACCAGTGAGACTTGGGTTCCAATGATAAAACTTTGTTACCCCACTTTGGCTCCCTCCCCAGAGTTCACTCTGGCAATTTCCTCAATTTGTCCCGCCAATAAGTTTTTTCCTTTGCCTTTGTTCATCATTTTAACACTACTGCCTTGAATCCTCAAATAAAAAAATGAGTGCCCCCCGAGTTGTGCTTGCCGTTTGAGTCCAATATCAGAAATCACTATCGGATTCCTATGGATTCCTATCTGGATCGCAATATATATGAGGAGAATAGACAACCTGGTTCATGTGGATGCTGGAGCTGAATGAACTTCCAATATTGCTCCCTCAAAAATAAATTGAGATGTCATAGCATCAGGGAAGACATCAAAACCCGACTCTTGGATAGGATCGGCTTGACATAAGGAACCCCAGAAACATCCTCAGCCGAGTAGCCCGAATCTCCAACATCAGGCGGACCAACTTTAAGTAAGGTTGGAAGGTTTTTCACTTCGAGGGAAACAATAGAAAACTGCTACCTAGATCAACGCAGACCAAAGGCAGACCGAATTTTATTCCGCTACTCAAAAGTCCGCTTCAATTCACACTCCGCCAAACCCCTCCCCTCTAGAACTGACAGTCCTTTTCCCCTTTTTCAGAGCCATGTCCCACCAACTCGCACTTCTTGTCAAGCTAGGTCTCGGACCAGTTGTTGCTGTGATGGTATCGATTGAAGATATCGAAGTGTATTTCGGTCTTGGTGCAGGCGTGTAAGACGTCATTGGCATTGTCAATGGATGCTCTGGAATCGGATTCATAGACGGCGTGGTTGATGGCGAAAAAGGTGACTTTATTGGAGATTTGTGACTAGTATTCGAGGTAAGCTCTTTCCGAGCTGCAAGAGATTGAGCGGTATTCATTGAATATGAGTGTGGAAGAGGTTTAGGTTTATCGTTCTTGATATTTATGGAGCTTGAACTTGTACTTGGATACGATTGTGAGGGGTCTTTGGAGATGTTAGCTTTTCTCTCTTCATTTTTGTTATTAAATAATTTGGTACATACCTCCCATCAATGATGAAGTCTTGGTGGCCACCGGAGATGATGATGACGAGGATGAGTGAATACCTTGTTGTCCAAACCATCCCAAAAATCTATACCACCTTACTCTCCAAAATTGCATACCACTGGTAGTGTTTAATGCTCCGACCAAAAAGAAGAAAGGAACACATACAGTCGCCATCGTTATAGCGAAAGGAGTGAAATCATGATCAGTGGACATATTCGTCATACCGTATACCGAGGTTACAAATGTGAGGGGAAGGAAGAATATTGAAACCATAGTCAATAGTTTGATATTGTGACCCTGTAATATAGTCACCGCGGCCATCTCCACGCTCTTTCTACTTTCTAAAACACTCGTACCCGAGAAAAGTTGATCCCTCAAAGTTCTAATCTCTTTCATCTTTTCGTCAGTTTCCTCATAAAGTTTGAATAGATGAGCCATCTGCTTTTCGAAATCTATTTTTAGTTTTTGCATGCGTTTTTGCCAGTATTGATTCCGATGAGAGTCTGGATCCAACATTGGCCATAGAGTCTTATGTTTTCCCTCCCAAACATCATCGGTAAAGGTATCTTCGTAACTATCCATCATGGCTTTAAGTCCATTCTTCAATAGACCAAGTGTTTGATAGGCCCAGAAGTAGCGACGGGAATAGGTGAATTCCTCATCTTCAAAAAGTAACTTATCTCTAATTTCTCCATCGAACATAAAGTTTGCCTGTGAAGTGAATGAGTACGAAATGAATTTTAATATCGAGAATTAACTTACTGGTGGTGACACGAGTTTACTGATCTTCATGTATATCGCCTCGAATCTTTTTTCTGCATCTCTAAATTCCGAGAGCAGTGTATGTAGAAAGGCTTCCGGTCCGTTTACATAATGCTTGGTTGAATCATGGACATCCATAGTATGACGGTGGTCCGGGTAGCATTGAACATTGAGAACATGCCATGCTGCCCATGGGTCATAAACATATCCATGGTCGGTACTAGCACGTCTGGCAGGATTTCTCAACTTTCGTATGGGATCACCAGATAAGGAGAGAGCTACAACGGAGTTACATCTCGATATAGGAATATGATCCTTTGAAGTACTTGGGGTCGTATCAGACAGTTGCCAAGGCATTGGTTGACATTCTTCCCCCACGATTGTCCAGTACTCAAAGTTAAAAACAAAGGACTTTTGTTGTCGGCTATCAGCGGAGAAAGGTCTTCGCATTATATTGGCCTGTCATATCATGTAAGCAAGAGAAAAAACCTGGTAATTCAGAAAACGTACAGATGTAACTTCGTCGGAGACTAAATAATTGAATAATTCATCCATGTCAAAAGTCTTGTTCAAAGTGAGATGTAAGGCCCCAAGTACGACAGGAGATGGTTCTCGAACAATTCTTTTGTGCACGTAAGTTAGCTCAAGGAATAGTCAGTCTGGGAGTGATACCAAGACTCACGTTATCCTACCAACAGCCGGCCGGAGCGATTCGGGATCGCTATTTAAGTCCTACACTCATAATCTTAGACACACGATCCTTTCATGGTAGATGCATTCGCTCACTTTAACCGCTTGCCATATAGCAGAATCAATTTTAGTAGTACCCGGTTTCACTACATCTCTTCTAGATAAAGGAGCACCATCTTTTCCAACATCAAACACAGAATAATGGGAATTATGAGATCGATCAGCTCTATGATAATCTGGAAACAAAACGGGATCTAGAAGTCGTCCATTTTTCGTAATCACACTTTCCAGAATTATATGACCAGCATCTGTGAAATTATAAGTTCTGAAATGCTGTCGTAATTGTTCTTCGTCATATTTGAAAGGTGCGAGCGGTGTTTGAACATATAAATCGTCATCATCATCACTTTCGTCACTGTCTCCTGATAAAACAGAGCTGTGAAGTGTTGATGGTCGTACTTCGGGAATGTCACCATCATCTTTGGTAGATCTTCTTCGTCGTTTTGTAAATGTTCGGATGGAGCCAGGACTTTGTGGTGCCGCACTAACAGGATTTGGATTCGTAATGCTGTTATTTAAGGCATCGTGAACAAGTTTGAATGTCTCGAGGTAAGCTTGATGTTGATCGTCGAGTTTCTTCAATAATTCCTCGGTACTCATACTCGACATTTCTTGGAAAGGCTGTTGGATGCGATTGTGTAAAAGAATGTAAGAAGAGGAAGAGAAATGGCTGGACCGATAAAAATGAAGACCCAGCCCTTGCCACTCACCATCGTTGGATACTCACCCGCGCCCCAGTTGAGCCGCGAGGCTTTTGCCTTTAGATGCCATGTTTCATGGCCGCCTCTATCAATCCACGAACATCATTGGATCGGGATTGTGAGCTGGCATTTCTTCGTATGCATCTCTCCATAGATATAAATTTTAAGCCCGTTGAGTAATCGCAGTCTCTAACTGCAAAAGTGGCGGTGAATTTCTTATCGATACAACAAGGGTTATGAAGATCAAAGTACTCGGTATGACAACGCAGAATTTCCGCCAAGATTTGTTGGGACTTGTGCACGTGGTCGCCCGAAAATGATGCATTTCGGAATTACTTCGGCTAGACCGGTTCGTCTGGTTTGTCAAGCCGTTCAGTCTCCCCTTTTCCATTTTTGAGCCGACGATTCGCTTGGCAATGAGTTAATACCGGTATAGCATTTTTCGATCTTTAAATCATGGTTGGAATACACAACCATTTCTCCTCATGGATGTTGACTTGGTGGGTACTCTGCGGCGGTGCACCCTAAAGAATTCATTCTGGCGCAGGCAGCAGGCCTCGACATGGCATTTATACTTCTCAAGGAAACGGCCCATGACAAAGAGCAGCGAGTCTTGAATTGCGTACATTTCAACCCATTCTAACCCATTTATCATTAAAGTTCCAACTTCAAGACCATTCGTATGAATAGAAATTGGAATATACCAATAGCTTGTATCCTGGCATACATCAATCATAGGTAAATTCCTTATCTTAATCACTTTACCAATGGAGTACGCACACAAACATCCTAGCTGAAGTGAAGCTCCTGTCATTATTTATTTTAAGGCTTGTTTCTTGCGAAGAGCATTTTTTGATATTCGCGCAGCCTTTTGTTTGAATGGTTCAACAGGTCGAATGTGAGGGCGAATGTGAGGACGGTCACCAAAAATTGGAGAACTAACAATGACCTTACTGGACTGGATCATTTGGAATGAAATCATTTGGTGAAGCTTTCGGAGAATTATGCGGATCCTATAATTGGATGTTATCATATGACAAACGATAGGAATCTTTCTAGCGGGAAGGGTTGGACTTGCCGTGGTAGCTTATGCGACCATCGGTTCTTCCCGCACCTTCCGAACAATATCTTCATTGTCTTCTCCGAAAGTGAAACTACTCCAAAGAATCGAATTGGAACATCGTCTAATTCAATTGGCTTGTTGGTTTAGTGCCCCCCCAATATTATTCGAATGAGTTGTTTGAGGTTCGTCATTTATAGTAGCTTCATGCGTGATTGGTTGTCCATCATCCTGGAACAGATATTGTAAGTATTCCCCCGTATCTTTCAATCCGTAAGATTGCCACTTTGCTTGTTGTACTGATAGGCTGGCAACGTTGTAGTCCTCGATCTTGGAATCATCTATCTCCGATTTTCCACTATATATACATGGACATTGGAAAACCTGACACGCTTCGCAGGACGGTTTCCACCTTGTACAATTTAACTGTCAAACTTCTTAGTGGACTGAATTCATCACTGTGAGATAAAGAAACAAACCTTGCGCCTTTTACACGAATTACAACCTGCCAACGCTTTTGGTCGACCACCCTGCAGTACGGGTATGCTGCGTGTCAGTGGATCATGGGCTCCAGAAGTTGCTATAAATAATCGTACTGCTAGGTGAAGATACTGGTTTATACTTGAAGGAATCTCGGCTCCACCGTCTCCAATGATAGCTTTCATGATCGCACGAACCAAACTTTGAATGACTAGACTGTAAAAGACTGATAACCACCATGTCTTGCCACGTAAATTCTCCTTTTTGAAGAAAACCTTCGATAGTTGCTCAATGTACCGCTTTATTGCGGACATTAAAGCATCCACATTCCTGTCCTTACAGAAATTTGAGGAGGTTCCTCTTTCTCCTAGTCGCGGTATGTGATTTTTGAATTCGACTTGCAAAGTTTTTCCATCAAGTTCAAAGTTTTGTAGAGCATCAATAGCTTGGCTCGCCTGCCTGTTATCGACAAAGTTAACAAACACTCTGCCCCGGAAGACGCCATTATCAAATTGATACTTAAATGCACATGGCACTGGCAAACCCATATCGAGCATTAATTCTATCATATCCTCGCTTGACTTTTCAAAGGGAATATTGTCTATGACAAGATCAGTCAGATCTACTTCTTCAAATGTGCGACATTCTCGGTGGGAAAATTCGTGCAAGGCGCCTAATGCCTTGACACGCCTGAGTTCAAGTGCTTCACGAAGGCATATGAGTGATTGTGCGATCAATCGATGTGGATCCTGGCCAAGTCAATGAAATCTTGATTAAAATCATAGGATTGCTTACTCGCTGGTTCTAATTTTGCTTGATAAATCGAAGCAGACCGCAACAATATAACTAGATCATCGAGTGGCCTTTCTGGAGGGTTGAGAAATGTTGGTAGACTTTGAAGGTGTGAAGAATCTTCTACAATTTCCCACACTATTGCCATGGTACATTGATCAAGGGCAATAAGTGACGGCATTGAAGCTTGATTTGGGAAGTAAGTGCCAGCCAACGATAGGGGCGAGAAGGTCGCCCAATATTCTCTAAAGACATATTTTGCCTAAGAGCGTCAATGGCCAAACTCAGCTCGATAATTGTATCTTCCCTTTCGGTGAAACTGACTATATCCTTTTTTCGTCTTCTTGCGGCTTCTTCCACGTAATCGTTTTTGAGATCGGATATGAAAGGTCCAATTACCTTTGCATCAATTATTTGACATTTTGGATATCTGCTTTCGTGCGAGTTTGAGCTTTGGCACCAATGACGCTGGCATTGAAGACACAAAATATCGATACCAGAAGGCATTGGTTGGGAATATGATTTTGGGCAGAGATCGATAGACTCCATCTCCTCTGAAAGTGTACCTCGCTTACAGCCAATTTGCGTCCAAGCTGTTTTGCCAGCTTTGCTTCGTTTTGGGCAAGTATCGCAAGGGATTCTCTTCTGTACACTAATCGGCTTTAGCATTATTTTTTATCGAGTATTCTATACACTAACCTTTTACCCAGAATTCGGCATCTCCAACACGCTCCTCCGATCATTTTGATAGCTTTCATGCCGATGCGTGCCCAAGAAGTTAGAGGTCTTTTACGACGAGATCCTCCAGAAGAGGCGTATCTTGACGGTGAATCATGTGCAACATCCATCGTCTGGCTCTTCAGAAAACTGTGTCTGCTTATACTTGAATTCCTGGAGGTTTGTGTAATTCGGTTACGTCCATGCTCGCTCCGAAGACTGGAAACAGATCCTGACATACTTCCACTCGCAAATCTTTGTACTCCTTGCATTTCAAATCTATCAAGTGGTGAATTTAAAGAGTTGAATACGGACGATGGAAATGGTGATAATGACGCAGACGAGTTAAAAGAGTTGGAACGAGAGTTCCGCGAGCTCGAACAGTTCTGGGGGGTGTATAAAGGACTTGTCAAAAATGGTTCGTCGGTCAATGACGCTCCCATATTGTAATTGTCGGAACAAGTGGACGAGTCATGAGATGGTGGTTTTAGGAACTTCTAGTGATGGTCTAGAAAATTCTGCTGATTTAAGTAATGTCTTTGCATGCGCCTCTCTCCGATGCTGTAATAAGAGGACACGTCGAGCAAAGTACTCTGCACAACTGGAGCATTCATGTGGTTGCCTTCTGCGTGAATTATCTCGTGGCGTCTGAGATCAATCTCCCTAGAATGGGATTTTTTGACAAGTTTTGCAGACGTATGCTTGGCGTTGAACATGTTGTTTGAATAGGGCCTAACCACTGTTGTCCGAAGAGATCCTGGGTGTGTACCGAGATTTGCAGCCAGAGTAACTTCTTCACCGACATGTTTATTGCAATCAATTTGTTTCCATTGAGAGCTGATGAGTTACCGTAGATGCCATATTCGGACATATTTAAATTGTGAGCCGTTTTGAGTTGCGGTAGCGGTAAGTCTTCCGCCGCGACATTGTCCTGGGCCAGTTCACTTGGCAATTCTAGTGGATATGGGTACACTGAATATTGAGGCCATGGCTCTATCTCCAAATTGGAGCCAAAGTAATCGATTTCGGAGTGGGATAGTTCATTCAGAAGCCTTCCAGAGTCAGTTGATTCATTGTTGTCGGGATATCGATCATGTGATCTAAAGAGGGCACCGTATTGCACTAGCGTATGCACTAGCGCTAGCACTTCTACTATATTAATTACTAGCTTCCCATAGATAATAATGATGAAGCACGAATACAACCATAATAGACTAAAGTACTTTACACTTATCAACCAAGTTGATACCAACAATTGTATTGGGTAAGCTCCGCAGGAGAGCTTTCGATCATAGCCTCAATGTTCCAATCGGTAGTACAATTACGCAAGACTCTTGCACAACCTTGTTGATATTCATAGTCCAAGTTCCTACTATGAGCAATTGACTGAACCGCCCTTTGCTGTGAACGATCGAGATTTCCGAGTATCAATTCATGCTTGCCGTTGTCATTCCTCAAAGTCTATAATTTTTCTATAGAACTCGAGATTACCAGAAATATTCATGTCTTTATTCATTTCGTCAGCATACGATTGGGAATAACAACGCTACAAGGGTAGCTGTGCTCGCGTGCTTACCTGGTAATTGTACGTCACCTGAAGAGTCCATGTTGAATGACCTAAACGCGAGGCAAGATATGGACTTGGAATAAGTTTAGAGAAGTCAAGGAAAAGGTTATCTTTCCGGAAGGATATCAATCCGATGGAGAATGGAAATTGGTAATGTTCCCCACTGTTGAAGCTCGTTGGGGCGGTTTTAAGGGTTTCCCTCTTTAAGAATGATTTCAAAGGCAATGCAGGATTCCGTGTACCAAATATGAGAATGAGAGGAGATTCCAATCGACCGATCTCTAGAGTTTGGCTCTCTGTATCTCTTACGAGACTGAAAAGTTGGGATTGATAGTTGATTGATTGATTTCATTTACGTCCACGTTCAGTCTAAGACTATATAGGACGGCTAGGCCTCTAGAGGCTCTAGCAGGTAACTTTTTATTCTACAAAGATGGATATATTCGATTTAGGGAAGTGAAAACAAATGTTGGGGACCAGTGCCCGCTTATTATACGCATTGCATATAATAAGTGGGATTGATAGTGAGAGAAAGCACAAAGTTCAATCGCACGAGGGAATGTCAAAAAGTAAATCGAAACATGTCAAGGCTGGAGTCTCTGAAGTTTGCCGCTATAACCTGAGCATACAATGGTGGTCCTTCAACAGTTGATGTAACCTTGGTTCGTACTAACCATATGGGGTCTACTCGAAGGTAAGATCTTACGTTGATTGGTCAACTCAACGCCACAATATTGCTGACGACAAGGGTTTGAAACGGGTACACAGGACCGCCGGAGTAACTACAGCCGGGCTTGGGCTAATAACCTTACATCAGTAAGGACCACCAATGCGTAAGCTGACATGTAAGTATATAACACGGTGCGACGTGTTTTGAATACTTATTCAAAATAAAGACCGACAATCAGATATCCTGTAGTATCTCTTCATCAGTATATCTCAACTGATACGAGCATACTATTTATATAGGACCACCAGAACTGCGGCTCTCGATTTTCTAGTCCGTACAGAAAATTGCAAGATGTGAGGACCATTGATTGAAGACCACCACAATGTAAGTGGGCGCTCCAAGTGAGATAAATAGCACTCATGCCACTGGTGAGGAGACGTCCATTCAAATGTTCATTGTCTTGTCGCGTACTGCATTCATTGAACATAATCCATTGACTCCTTTCAATCATCACATTTCCACAATGAGTGATCTTGTTGCATCCTCCTTCCAAGGTTTTATGACAAGCTCAGCTGGCAAGGACAGCATGATTTTAGATGACTGCTTGTATCCATCACCACAAAGCTGGCATGAGAGTACGCTTGAAGAGACACTCCCCAATGTTGACCCGATTGTATACTCATCTCGTCCGAGCATGTCTTTTGATATCAACCACAACACACCACTCTTCGATCTTAGCTTCATCGATACACGATCTTGCCTAGAATTATCTCAAACCGGAAATGACATGCGTCTCATTGACTTCGGGTATGGGTATCAGCAACGTAACCTTACCGTACAAACGACTCTCAGTCCCCAGTCGGACCACAATACTACTCGAGATCGACACCTGAAGATCGCCCCAGGTCCAAGTTGTGAGAAAGACTCCAGGGACTCTAAGTCTCGCGGTACATACCACAGCAACCGTATTCGTTGTTCTTTCTCCAACTGTTCTTCGACCTTTGCACGTCGAGGAGATTTGGTTCGCCATCAGAAATCTCTTCATTGCCCCAAGACACCATGTATCTACTCGTCAATGGGCTGTTCATATCAGACTGGTCGACTTGACAAGATAAAGGAGCATACAAAGAAAAAGCATCCTACCATACCTCATTCCGATTGCATAGGTGAGTTAGAAATGTCCGATTAAGAATCAAACAGAACAGGATAATTGAATTGTACCCAGATATAAGCAATCATCAACAGGCTAAGACCGAAAGTTCGTTACACTCTGAGATCTATCATTTGCCAGAAAGTGAGGTTGAATGGGTACCGGAAACATGTGATTTGAGCGCGTTCGTGTGGAAGAATAGCAACTTTGGAGCCGAAAGTACGGGAATGGAGTTTCCTATCCAGATCTGTGACGGATTGTGAAGCAGAGAATCTGGTCTAAATTTTGGAGGTAGAAGAGGAGGACGGGTGGACTCGAGGATGGGTACAGCATGCAGGAACACCCCCGTTTGATCAATAGGGAAATGTTGTTTACCATTTACCAATGAATGGACATAAAAGTATGATTTATATCTCCAAAGAAGTATGATTTTGCGAAAGCAAGATTGTTATAAATGTGAACTCGTGTATACTGAGAATCGTCGTGAATTGCAGTCCTGGTAATCAGATTCCCGATGCCGTTGATATGGATTGATCTATTTCAGAACTTTAGTAGTATTGACATGAGAAAAGAGAGGGAGTCAATGATTTTCTTATCAATTCACTTTATGTCCATCATTTCCACCAGATAGGTAAAAAAGCAAATAAATCTTGTCCCACCTCACCCTTACACCCTGTTTCGAAGCAAACCACCAAGCAAACAAACTAACCTTTTTAAATCCTTCATTCCAATCACCCTCATAACATGAATGGCGAGAAGCAGGATTCCAAATCCTATTCTCATTCAAAAAGAAAAGACCAAAATTCCCCCAAAAATTAAACAAGGAAGACACTGGGATTTGAACCCAGGACCAGATTCTGAGAGCCTGGAATCAGATACGCTACCACTGCGCCATGCCTTCGATTATATATTATCTCAATTGATGGAATGGAAGCTGTTGTTTGAGTTCATAAAAACCAAGTGTTCTGTTGTGTTGAGTGAAGATGAGAAGGAAGGTTGTGTGGGGAAAAGGGAAAGCGGAAAGGGGCATGATGACATGGTGACATGGTGACATGGTGACATGACGGCATAACCTTGAGTTTCGGGACAACACAGCTTAGCAGGTACCAAGGTTTCTTGTCTACTTGGATAATTTGATGATCCGAAAACGACTTAGATTATAGATTTATTGCACTGATGAGGAATTTGATGATAAGTTTGTATGCGAAGGTCTGCAAGCATAGCATGATGATCACACAAGTACAGGACGGTAATGACGAAGGTGGTATAGGCTCATAGAAAGAGGGTAAATGTAATTTTGTATAGATTGATTTTAGCCAAACGATACAGAAAAAGCAAAAATATCAACGCCGCCCCGAGACTTATGTATATGTCTGGATATTTATTCCAGAAGCCTTCACCCACAAAAGTAAAAGACTAGATCTCATCTCGGAAAGCTCCTCATTTCTTTCCCTTCTTTCCTCTAGCTGCAGGTCCCATGGCAGCCTCTCTTCTTTTTTGTTCCCTCGCCAATTGCTCTGACTTTGCTTGCTCCTGTTCCTTACGCTCTTCCTCTTCGGCCTGCGTAAAATTAGCATGATCTCAAACAAAAAGGGGGGGTACAGTGGAACATACAGCCTTGCGTTCTGCTGCCAAGCGTCTCTCCTCTCTGACCCTTGCCAATCTTGCGAGATCGGCTTGAGCTTCATCAGTCTTTCCAGCAAGATGTAATCTTTGGTATGCTTCTCTCTTCTTTTGTGCCTCGATTGCCTCTCTTTCCTTGCGACTCAACTCTTGAGGTTTCTTGCCAACGCTCATCTTTGCAACGTCATCGGCAACTTCATCAACAGACTTTGGAGGTGCCTTGGCTTGATCTCTAGCAGCCTTGCTATGATTGGGATTGACGGGCATGTCATCATCCTCGCTCTCTTCTTCGCTGTCGGTTGGAAGATCACCAACTTGTGCAACTTTTTGGTTCTTCTTCTTGATAGCAGCTTCTTTCTTTGCTTTGGCAGCGGCGCGACGTTGTTCACGAGTCATCTTTTGCTTTTCTTCTTCCTCTTCCTCCTCCGATTCCTCCTCCGATTCCTCTTCTTCTTCTGAGGATGAATCATCGGCATTCTTTTCGCGAATTTCGTTTCCATTGGCGTCGAGAGGTCGAAGATCACGAGAGAAGTGTTTACCACCTATTGAAAAGTTCAAATCAAAATGTTCCACAACGTAGCACTAGTGTTCATAATATTCTTACCTCCACGAGTGAACTTCTTGAATTTTCCACCTCTGCCACGTCCTGCTGGTCCTCCTGGAGCCATCTTGTATTTAGATAATGTCGAGAAAACCGAAAGTGGATTGTTTGATTTGAGGTTTATTGGCGTTGAAGATTTTATCGATTGCTAACGTCAAGGTAACTTTTTATCTTGTGATGTCAGGTAAATAGGTGATGACTGATTGTGCTTTTAATCCATCCAGAAGATATCGATTTTAGTGCGGGGCACATACAAAACAAACCCCGCCGTACTAAAAAGAGTCTTTAGCTCAAAATACGGGAGACCTTGACCAATGAGATAGTGAATGAATAAAATCATGCCAAAAGCCGACTGGCCGATGATTTAGAAGCTTAGATCAGTGCTAGTTTGGCGCCAATGCTCGCTTATATCACGTGATAATGAAAATTCGAATACAAGATAATCTCCAATCTTCTAGTTCGACTTCCTTCTCTTTTTTTTCTCTTCATAAAACTAAAACTGATTCCTCAATATTCACTCTGGTCTTTTGTCTTTCAATGGCGGGATCTTGGAGGGGAAATTGCAGGATAGAAGAGAATCTTTTCGTTTACTTACCCTCCATCCTATGGCATGAGAATGCGTTGGGTCATGGAGAAATATAAAAAACGGGACATTTACATCTATTATTGTTACTTTCTTTATTGTTTTCAGAGCCGATTACAAATAGCATTGTCTTGGATTCAACGGCATGGTGCGCGCTATTGGATCAAGTTGTTGGGCTCGTGCTCATGTAGTCGTTGCCAATTTATTTGCTTTCAGACACCGAAATGGACAAAGAATGTTTGCAGCGCGAAGAAAAGAATTTTTAATTCTGGTCGCCAAATCTAGTCCCATATCTGCAACTTTCTCTTTGTTCACATCAGGTAAAAAGGATAATAACTGTACAATCAAGAAGGTTCAAATCAATCTTTCAATTATGACCATTTGCTATACCTTTCAATCATCCTCGAATCATACTCACCTATAGTCATTGTCGATTACATTTCTTTTGAGACTCGTTTATAGATCCAACATGTCCGCATGTCCAGCCTGCGACCGTCCCCTCGTGTTACCTCCTGCATTTGCATATATTGCTCTCAAGTTCCCTCGAATTAGAGCCTCCCTCGATTGTGACCGCACATTACCGCGTTGCAAAGACTGCGATCGAGCAGCAGCAGAGAAACGAGCCGCTGATGCAATCCTCCCACCACCGTATTATATCAATCCTGTCGCGCAAATCAAGAAACAAATCGACTTGACGCAAGAATTGATCAAGGCAGGAGTGCGGCGAGAAGAACTGGAGATGGAACTTCCTGGTTTAATGAAAGAAGGTTTGTTAAGATTGCAGAATAGGGATGCAAATATACGAAGTGCCTGGCATGAGTATTGGGAGATTTGGGGATGGCAACAAGGACAACCTCGACCCTGAAAGTGATTTGCGCTTGGGAGGTATGAGAATGGACATGAGCAACATGAGCAAGATTTGCCATATGAGACATGGAGTTCTATAATCAATCATTATTGAGTGGAGAATTTATATACATTTTTGAAGGACTTCGTATTTGGATGCTTGACTTGTTCTGTGAAGCAGGTACACCTGGTGGTAGTTCGTTGGTGGCTTGGACTTCAGGTACCAACTTTTTGTAAGGGTACTGTTGCTGTCAAAACTACTTCATAGCGCATGCGCCCACATTATTGAACGTCTGTGTGGACGGGTAAGAAAATCAATTTAGAGGAATGATAACATGTCAATCAATGTGAAGATATAAATATTTTGAGTTGTGACGATGATCTTTGTCTAATGATGTTTAACAAAACCCCCTGAATATCTATTTCATTATTCATAGCCAAGAAATACCACGTACGGTTGCTTCAGATGACGCAAATAAAGCAATTTCAGGGTTCCTCCACAGCATTAATCCTCCTGGTCACTCACCATCGTAGGTAATAACCAACACCAAAACACCAAATCAACAACAGTTATAATTCCACGTCTTTCAGATCAAAATGGCAGCATTTCTACGTGGAAAACAAGCAGGTATACAAAATGATCTATCTGCTGGTATATTGCCAGGTCTATTTGCGCCGGATGATCTAGATCTTTCGGCAATCAATTCTCAAATAGGGTATGTCCGGGTCTGTCGCCGTCGGAATTGAAGGCATTCAACTAACTTTTCGCCCTTTTAGTTCTCTCGCATTCGATCCGGTACAATCTCTACTTGCAGTGGGAACGAACGAAACGACATTCGGAAGTGGACAAAATTATATCTTTGGTCAGAAGAGGGTTCAAGTAAAGCTTACATTACCCCGCCGAGCATCAGTCAAAACTTTACAATTTTGCGCCGATAGACTTATCAGTGTGGATTCCAAAAACGAAGTGATAGTATGGGATTTGGCAACGGCAAAGAAGTTGGCGGCTTACTCTCCGCCAGGAGTGGTGACAACCATTGTGACGGATCCCATGCTGGATTGGTGCTTGATCGGACTACAAACTGGAGATATTATCTGCTACGATTTGGATAGAGAGAAGCTTGCGCCATTACGTCTTCCCAACTTCTGGCGTGAAATGAACCCACGATCGAGGTTATTAAGTTGCGTGTCTTTACAACTACATCCCAGAGATATTGGTCAGTTATTGATAGGATACACAGAAGGGGCTGTAATATACTCTTTCAAACAAAACAAACCCATCAAATACTTTCAATATGAAGTTCCAGCTGGAGCTCCCGGCGGGAATGGAGATCCTATGGGAAAGAGTACGCCGAGGCAACCACGTCTTACGCAAGCTCTATGGCATCCAACTGGAACATTCATTGCTACAGCGCATGATGATGCAAGTATTGTGTTTTGGGATCCAAAAGACGGCCGGATTATAATGGCTCGAACCTTACAAGATACACATGTAAACGTACCTGGCTCCCAACCGCAAGGCTCCGGTGATACCTTCTCGTTGAAGGGAGATTTTGCCAAAATAGCTTGGTGCTGCAAAGGAAACCCTGATGATACTGGTCTACTCATAGCTGGTGGAATTCCCACCACTATGCCTCACAAAGGATTGACATTTATGGAGCTGGGAGTAACTCCTGTTTATGCGACTTCCACTTGGCAAATTCTGACGGATCACTTTGATGGAAAACGTTCAAATTTCCTACCAATTCCTGTTGATGTGGATATAGCGGATTTCTGTCTCATTCCTCGTGCTTCTCCACATTTTGCCGGTGCTCAAGATCCTATCGCCGTTATAGCACTTCTGACATCTGGTGAGCTAGTTACATTAAGTTTCCCTAGTGGTCATCCTATTTCACCCACCAACCAACTCCACCCTTCTCTTACATTTGTTCATCCTTTCGTCAATTTCGTGGCTGTATCTGCCGTTGATCGTGGACGATGGCTCGGCATGACAGAAACTCGAGCAATAGGTCCTCAACTTCTGAAAGGAGGGGCCGAGGGAGTAAAGCATTTACGAAGATATGAAGCTCGTAATATTATTCAGACGGCTCACGGTGATGGTACAGTCCGAATTTGGGACGCTAGTCATGGGGATGAATTAGAAAACTCAGGCATGCTACAAGTCGATGTGGCCAGAGCTGTTGCGGGTGTTGAATTTGTCAATATCTCTGCTGTCAATATGGCTTCAAGTACTGGGGAGCTGTGTGTTGGAACAGCAGCTGGTGAAGTCGTGGTGTATAGGTGGGGTGGTAATCGAGCCTATGGTAGCGAGCAACCGGCAAACGAGAGGCAGCCAGGAGGTATCACGGATATTTCTGTTCGTGCAGAGCCATCTCTCAAGGAAGGTCTTCAGCCATTCATCCTTTATGACATGGCACAAGGACCCATAAGTGCGATCCGTATGTCAGATGTGGGATTTGTGGGAGTTGGGTCTGAAGGTGGAATCTTCTCAATCATCGATCTCCGAGGGCCATCGGTCATCTTCACCACTGCAATGAGTGACTTCATCAAACAAGATAAAAGAAGCAGTTTCATGAGAAAGGGGAGTAGCCAAACTACTGCCAAACCGGAGTGGCCCGTATGTATTGAATTCGGAGTCATGACACTAGATGATGATAAATACTCCAGCATTGCTTGTTTCGTGGGAACAAACAATGGCAAGATCGCCACATTCAAAATCTTACCACAACAAAATGGTGGATATACAGCTCAGTTAGCAGGAGTAACCTCTTGCTCCGATAAGGTAATTTCGATTACACCCATTGTAGCTGAAACAGGAAAACCTGCATCAGCAACAGGTCCTATCGTAGCTGCACTCCGCAATGGACAGCAAACACACGGTGCCCTTGTAGTTGGTAAGTTCACTATAATCATGGTTGCTATTGACCTCCTTTCCTATGTGAGGAGGTCAGTAGCTTCTAACCCTTTCGGTCAATCCTTTCTTGACTGAGTTTGTTATTCCATACGATGTAATACTAACAATCCTATAGTTACTCAAACTGAAGCTCGCATATTCAAACCCTCCAGTGCCAAAGGTGCTCACAAAACCTTTGATGATGTCTTTTGTGATTCTGCTGCCGTAACCGAATTCGAACTCCATGGTTTCGCTCTCGTCGGAGTATTTGGTGATGGAACAGCTCGCGCTTACTCGCTCCCAGCACTCAAAGAAATTGGCTCATCGAAACTAGACATGCTAGACAAAACCCGCTCGTCGAATAGTGTCGTCACTCCCGCTGGGGATATTATTGGTTGGACTGGTCCTAGTGAAATAGCAATGGTTAATGTCTGGGGAACCGGACTTCCACTTGGAAGAAGTCAAGATAAATTGTTCAATCCTGAAGTATTGATTCCTCCTCGTCCCACGATCTCAAACCTCCAATGGATATCCGGAACTCAATATGTCTCTCCCACTGATCTCGATCTTTTAATCGGTGGCCCTGATCGTCCACCTAGCAAACGTATGCTTGCCGCTTCGGCTGAAGAGGAACGATTAGCTCGGACTGCTGGAGGTGGAGCTGGACCTAGTGGGAGTCAAGAGGGTTGGGGTGACTACATGACTAGACAACTCAATGAGAGGACGGAGAAACTCAATATCATGGGAGATAATTTGGATAAGGTACAAGAGAATAGTGCGGGGTGGGCGGATGACGTTAGTAAGTATGTCAATAAACAGAAGAGGAGCATGTTGTTGGGTGGAATTACTGGGAAATGGTTTTAACGGACAATGAAATGGATGGTACGGGCAGATGGGTGTATTGAATGGGCGTTCTTGGGGTTTATTGAATACCTGGCTTGGGAATACCTCGAAGATACTGACAGAAA